TTGCTCTTGAGTACTTTAGAGAGGTCCCTAACAGCAGACTTTCCCATCGTAATACGTTTTTTGATTTCCTGGCTGCTGGTGCCAAGAGTGTTGACTGTGGAGCTAAGCAAACTGAAGCTGTGAACAATCTCAATCTCTTCGCCATCCATCCTGATGCTAGATAGAGATAATCCAACAATATTGATAGGAAGATAGATAGATAATAGATAAATCCAACAATATTATTTGATAGGTAGATAGATAGCTAGATAATCCAACAACATTTTTTATCTCATTGAAATCAAGAAAGGCGGGAATGATGGATTATCTATCTGTCTTTCTATCTGCCTATCAGCCGAACAGTTTGTTGGCTTGTTGTTCCTGCGCACCACTGGGTCAAAACCAACTCCTAGCTCACCCCTCCCATGGGTTTTCAGAGGAAGTAAACTGGGCACGAGGAGATTGCTCATTTATCTTCTATAGAGCAGCTGGTGGCTTCAAACCATGTGTTGTTGGATTGGCTGTGAGGTTTTATTGAGAGGGCAAGTTTTGTGCTGGCAGCCAAGGTAATTTCATTTCCTACGGCGTACATTAAAGCGGTTGCAGTTAAAAAGCTCCTAGTTGGACTTCAAGAGCGAGCAGGTGGTCACCACTCTTGGCCTCTCAGTGCCCCCCATATCATCTTAGCTGTGTGTACTAGTTCAGGGGGGATTCTGAAGCTTCATCTGACATACTTTGGACATGTTGCAAGGTGGGACCAGTGCTTGGAGAGGGACATCATGCTTGGGAGGGTGGAGGGACAGCGCAGGAGAGGAAGACCCTCAATGAGATGGATTGATTTAGTGATTAGGGTAATGGGGGTAGGTATGTCGGAGACAATTAGATTGGCATGAGGTAGAAGGGTTTAGGGCTGCTGTACATAGGTTGCTATGAGTCTCAGGCAACTCGATGGCACATGACAACAACAATGTATCTACAATATATACATATATATCACTTCATTGTACAAAATGAAAGTATAATAAAAAAATATGAAAAAAGTCCAAGTATGTAAGTATAAAGTGTTAAATATCCTTATAGTAGTATCATTTCTTAGTAATAGCATATATTAACATTTTAATGTCTCATTCAGGAATATTTCTGTAGACAAATAAAACTCAAACAATACTAAAAAAAAGGCCTTGTAGGATTTATCTTGGATTAGATTTATTTGTAAGGGAAGACTGTAGTGAGTAAGACACTGTACTTTCATATACTCGTTATATTTTATAGAATTACTATTGATATATGCCTATTATCACCCCATCTTTTCCAGCCCCGCTGAACCTTTCTTATTCCTCCACCACTACCCCCATCTGCCCACCAGCCTCAGTTTTCCTAGTGACTTTCACCCTTACCTTTCCCCCACCTCCTCTGCCTTTTGAAGCTTTATAAACATCTTACTCATTTATCCTCCTCTATTTACAATAATGGATCGTATACAGTATTTATCCTTATGAAACAGACTTATTTCACTCAGCATAATGCTCTCCAGACTCTTCCATGTTATATTTTAAAAACTTCTTGTTCTTTAATACTGCATAGTATTCCATCGTGTGAATGCACTGCGATTTCTCAGTCCATTGATTTATTGTCAAGCATGTGAGCGGTTCCTGTTTTCTTGGTCTTAGGAATGGCGCTGCTGTGAACATAGGTGTGCATATCTCCATTTGCGTCTTAGTTCTATTTTCCTCGAGGTATACTCCTAGTAGTGGGGTTTTTATGCTCAGATTTTTGAGGAAATGCCAGAGTGGTTGTGTCACTTGAAAATCCCAACACCACCACATTGCAGTTCCAATCTCTGCACGTCCTCTCCAATACCGATTGCTTGCTCATCGCAGTCTGGTCAGCACTTTTATGAGAAAGCTTGTCTTGCTTTCCCTAACGTTTGAAGCTGCTTCCTTAACATTATGTGGCAGTTTCTGTTGTGTTTGTGTAGGTTGCTGATTGAAGTATTGCTTCCAATTCCATTTCCCAGTGACAATCTTCCCTGCTTGCTGCCTATGGGTTCTTTTGTTCCCTATTTCCTGCAACAAGATGTTCATCCAGTTGCTCTTTGACATCAGGGAGCTGGGGTCTCTGTTCTGACCTGCTGACTCTGAGAAGAAAGGGAATCCCAGAATATTTAATCGTGCTAATGCGAAACGTATACTTGGACCAAGAGGCAGTCATCAGAACAGAGCAGGGCAACACTGCATGGTTCACAATTGGGAAGGGTGTACGCCAGGGATGCATCCTGTCTCCATACCTTTTCAACCTGTATGCAGAGCAGATTATCCGAGAGGCTGGGCTCTATGAGGAGAATGGTGGCATCAGGATTGGTGGAAGATCTATCAACAATCTGCGTTATGCAGATGACACAACCTTGCTCGCTGAAACTGAGGAGGACCTCATGCACTTACTGCAGAGGGTCAAGGACTGCAGCCTTCAATATGGACTGAGGCTCAATGTCAAGAAGACAAAAATTCTCACCACTGGACCAATCGGTAGCATCAGGATGGATGGCGAAGAGATTGAGATTGTTCACAGCTTCAGTTTGCTCGGCTCCATGGCCAACACTCTTGGCACCAGTAGCCAGGAAATCAAAAAACGTATTGCGATGGGAAATCTGCGGTTAGGGACCTCTCCAAAATACTCAAGAGCAGCAGTGTCTCTCTGGCGACTAAGGTGTGCCTGATACAGGCCATGGTTTTTGCAATCACTTGTTATGCATCAGAGAGTTGGACAATGACTAGGGAGGTTAGAAGAATTGACGCCTTTGAGCTGTGGTGCTGGAGAAGAGTATTGAATGTGCCATAGACTGCCAAGAAAACAAACAGATTCATCGTAGAGAGGATTAAACCAGGCTGCTCCTTGCAGGCAAGGATTCTGGGGCTTCGTCTGACATACTTTGGACCTGTTGTAAGGAGAGACAGGTCTTTAGAGAGGGACATCATGCTGGGTAGAGTAGAGGGACGGTACAGGAGGGGAAGACCCTCTATGAGGTGGATTGATTCAGTGACTGGGGTACTCGGGATGGGTGTGTCAGGGGCAATGAGATTGGCACAGGATAGAGCACGGTTTAGGGCTGTTGTACATAGGGTCGCTATGAATCGCAAACGACTCGACGGTACATAACAACAACAACAGTTTGATGGGCAGAGGGGATGATTTCCCCCAGCGGTAGGCAAAGTCCCAGGAGCACTGCCTGGGATATACCGGCTCTTAGAAAAAGCCCAGACAAGTGGCAGGGTCCCAGTAGTGCAGCTCCCAAGTCTTGGTAGTTCCGAATGGCCACAGGTCCCCTCTCCAGCTGAGGCTTTTTGGGAAGAGTTATTCCCTCCTGAGTGGACAAAGGTCCAGGGAAGCGACAGCAGACACCCAGCAGTGTGATTCACAAGTCTCAGGAGTTCTGAGTGATCATGCCCGCCTGTTCCCTCTCCTGCTGAGGCTGTTGGGAGAGGATTCTTTCTGTCCGAGCAAAGACTCAGGGAAGCCAAAGGTTCCTACCAGTGCAGTCTGCAAAAGACTCAGGTAGCTCCTAATGTTTGTTTCAAGTCTTTTTCTTGGCTTGGATTCATTTGCAGGACAAAAATGTAGTGAACAAGGGAGCTCTGGTGGCCTAGTGGCAAGACGCTGCACTGCAATCCCAGAGATATGTGGTTCGAATTCACCAGATGCTCTGCTGGAGAAGGAGGGGGCAATCTCCTCCTGTACCAGTCAGATCTGATTTGACGGTACACGTAAAAATAATACAATAAAAATTAAAAAAAAAAGAATGCAGTGAACAGAATTCTAAAGACAACTTCTACACAACAACTGTGGTGTTGCCTAGGATAACAATTCATTCAAGGCACGGCTGTGGTTTGGCCTTTCCACGCAGGCATCCTGGTGACGGCCTGGTGCACAGGGAGTCCCTCAGCGACTTGAAATGTGGTGCCCCTCTAGTGGTCAGAATCCACCAGCAACACGACAGGAGTGTGATGTACAATCTCTGCCCGTGCACTTAAAGCCCTAGAAGACCTGCCAGAAGGTCACCTGTGAGTCTGCTCTGAGCTGAGCAATGACTAAGTGTGATGGTTGTTGAATTCAAATTTACTCTCAGAGCAACTCAGTTTACCAACAAGAGTTCCGGATGGCCAGGAGACAGTCATCGAAACTGGAAAAATTACCTCACAGCAGATCTAAACCTCATGTGAAGTCTTTGAGGAAATTGTCAGCTGGGTGAAGGATCTGGGACATTAGTTGTATTTCATATTCCCATTAACTGGACTATCTGACAAAGGTTAAGTTTGGGGCTGGTTTATTGGGGATTTTAAAAAAGGGAAGAGGCATTTCTGAATCTTAAAGATAATATGAGGGGGGATGAGTGATGCTACCCTGATTGTTAGCTGATATCAAGTCAATTACAACTCACGGTAGTCTCACAAGTGCGGAGGAGGAGTTTTCTATGGAGTTTTAAATATTGTCACCTTCTGGAAACAGATTTCCGGGTCCCGAGGATCCCATGAATGGGTATAAAAATGAAGCCTTTCAACCAGAAGTCAAGAGCTTAAGCATTGATAATACTTAGGCCCTCAATTAACTCAGGGCAAGGAGCAAAATTATGATTTCTGAAACCCTTAAGAGTTTTTGAGCTTTATATGTCACTTTTTGTTTTTGTTCCAGGCTCCATCTTCTCAGGTCTCTCACTACTGGGCACATCAGCTCACCATGAGTGGCCAAAGAAGAAATTCACCCAGGAAAAGGAAAACATTATCATCCCATGAGGAGCTCGAGAAGGCAAAAAAGTCCAAGACAGAATCTTTACAGTGTGTCGGCAGTAATAATGAGAAATCTTTGGTTCCAGCAAGTCGAGAAAAGGGTGTGGAGTTGGAAAGTGGATCTTCATTCAACACCAGCTCTGCGAGAAACTCTAACCAGGTCCCCGTGAAGTCTCGGCAGTTAAGACTGACACCACAGGGCTTTCCCAATTTTGCCAAAAACTGTTACATGAATGCCATTTTGCAGTCCCTTTTTTCAATCCCCACATTTGTGGACGACTGGCTCGCTCAGGAAATCCAATGGGATAACTTTCCTTTGGATGGTTTTCTCCCGTGCTTTAATCAACTGCTGACCATGAAGGACGACTGTGAGGAAGCGATCTTGGAAGCCCTGCTGGGGAATGTTCTGTACGCCCTTTCTTACAAAGCAGAGATATTCTCCGAGAACTCAGGGAATGATGCACAAGAGTTCCTAAGCCAGTTTTTGCTTCAGATGAAAGAAGACGTGGGAAAACTAAATGTCACTAGCAAAACAGAGAGGGAAGCCAGTGGAGGAATTCAACATGCACAAATTCCTACTGCCCGTCCTGCTGCCAATGTGCTCGTTTGTCCAGGGGTCAGGAATTTTGAGTTTGAGTTTCAGCACCTCCTCACCTGTACAACCTGCGGTGAGGTCAGGGGCAAGACAGAGCTGAGCAACGATCTCTCCATCAGCTTTTCCGAAGAGAAGCAGGGACTTCAGCATAGTCTGGATCTTTTTTTTGAAGCCCAAGAAGTTGAATACAACTGTGACAAATGTAAGAGCAAAAGTTCTACTTCAAGGCACAAGTTCGGCAGGCTACCCAGGGTCCTGATTGTCCATCTAAAACGGTATACTTGCGATGCTTTGGGGAAGTTTGTGAAGGTCACGCAGAAAGTGGCTATTCCAAAATACTTAACATTATCCCACTACTGCAATGAACACACCAAGCCACCTCTTCCTCTGGACAGGAATGTCCAAGACGAGGGACTTCAAGTCCTGAAAGTGTCTCAAGACAAGAGTGCTGCGACTGCGAGCTCATGTGCATCTCCTACAACCTTGGCCTCAGCCTCTGAGAGGTCTCTGGTCCCGCATATTGGGTCAGACAAGGCCACTGAACCACACAAAGGCCAGAGACCTCCTGGGAGTTCAAGCTTAGAGGTGCACAAGACAGACCAAGAAAGTGGCTACAAGCCAAATACGACAGAGCTCGGATTCGACATCTCAAGAGATGAGCGAACTGGTGAGCTGAAGCGGCCAGTAGCTGCCTCAGTCCTTTCTCAGGAAGACGTTTCTCTCTCAGTGACTTCTGGACACAGAGGTAAACCCATCAGTGGCCGAGCCGCAGGTGTCGGGGAGGCGTCGTCCCAGCAGGAAAAGGTAGACTCTGAAAGCCCTGCTCAGTCAAAGGAACATGAGGAGAAAGAAAACAGGATCCCAGAAGGAGCGCAGGGCGCGGTAGACCAGCTGCAGGAACGCACGGAGGTGCACCCAGGTCCACTCAAGTCCTTGAGTTCTGAAGCCAATTCTGGACACAGAGGCCTCTTAGATGTGGAGAGCGAAGAAAGAGAAACTGAGACACTGACCGGGAACGCTGGCCATTCCTACAGGCTCATCAGCGTCGTCAGCCACAAGGGGACTACCCCGAACGGAGGTCACTACTTCAGTGATGCCTATGACTTTCAGAGGCAGGCCTGGTTCACATACAGCGACCTTCGGGTACAGCGGGTCCTCGAGAGCACCGTGCTGAACTCCAGAGGCGACACCGGTTACATCTTCTTCTACATGTACGACGAGATCTTCAAAGGACTGTTGGGAGAGGCAGAGGCTTTGGGAACCAGCAGGTTGGTGTAATCGGGGGAAGCCTGAGTAACACGTGAAGACTGGGATGGGTGCCTTTAAGACCAAGGAAGCGCAATCGAGGCGCAGGCTCCGACTCTAGCACCACGTAGGGGAGCATGAACTTTTGATGTGGGTCCTCCTCATGCTACGTTTCCAATCCTGCTGGGAGTCTGCTGTGACCCTTGGCCACAGACGAGGGCAATGCGGCCCATTCGGCACCCCCCACCCCATTTGCACTGTGCTCAAAGCCACCTTTGGGACCAGCATGCCAGCTCATCCCGTGGAGGACCGTCCTCTTCCCACTGACACTCTCCTTACCAAGAATGATCTCTTTCTCCAGAAACTGGTCCCTCTTGACCAAAAGTATCCAAGACTTGGTCTTCTCTTTGGAGAGGCAAAAATACCAGGTCTAACCAGGCTGAAAACAGGAGATGCCTCCTCCTGACCTTTGTTAGCAGACCCCACCCACATCCTGCAAGTGCTAAAACCTCATGCCTGTTTTCCTGATGCTCTACTCCCCTCCCTGCCACCCTTTCTTGGCACTGCTCTTTACTCATTAAAGGACACTCTCCCACGGCACCACCCGGCAGATTCAGTCCATCGAGCTTTAGGCTGGAAGCTGACCTCAAACTAGTTGTGTCACCCACTTGGATTCTACTTCCCCAGAAGACCCACACAATAAACATGAGTGTGCCTACATCTGTCTGGATGTCAGCTCTAGTTTCTTTATGGTATATTCCTAGTAGTGGAATTTCTGGGTCAAATGGTGTTTCGAGTTCCGACTTTCTGAGAAAGTGCCAGACCACCTTCCACAGTGGCTGTACCATTTTGCACTCCCACCAGCAGTGAATAAGGGCTCCAATCTCTCCGCACCTCACCAGCATTTGTTGTTTGCTGCCCTGTTGAACTTCACTATTATTGCTTGGTAAAATAAACAATTAAATGTAAAGAAGTGAGATTTTTTCCTCCTCCCCTATTAATGAATAAAAGATAAATTAAAGAAAAAGAAAACAAAGATCAACCCAGTTGTCCATTGTTGTTGTTGTTAAATGCCTTCCAACTCATAGTGACCCTATTAATAAAAGACTGAGCACTTGTATAACTTTCATTGTTTTTCTAAGTTCCATAGGGTTTCTGGAGGCAAGCTATTTTGAAAGTGGATACCATTCCTGCCTCCGAGCTTGTTTTAATCGGGCAGCTCCACCAAATACTGTCCATCCTGGGTGACCATTCTCGCATTTGACACATCAGTGTCACAGTGTTCAGCATCACAGCAACCATGAGTTACTTCTGTACAGCAAATGGGTAGACCAGGGCTAGATCACTTTGAAGAATGTTTGATAAAAAACCAATTAAACCCAAGCCTGAACACTAATGATTAAAGACCAGACAAGTTGGAGAATGACATCAAACAAGAAGAAAGCAAAATGCATTTTAAAAAGGCAGGAAAGAAGGTTTAGAGTTTGTTTTTTCTATCCCTCTCCCCCACTACCATCACCAGACAAGATAGTAGGTTGGACAGATGGCACATACCTTTTCTGATGTTAAAGTATTCAGTATCCCAGTCTCCTCCTGTACCAGTCAGATCTGATTTGATGGTACACACAAAAAATAATACAATAAAAATTAAAAAAAAGAGAAACGTCAACACATTATGATGAGTGATATAAGTAAGTTATGAAAGGACTAGTACAAACTCAGTTATATGAAAACACAGAGACCAATGTTGACTCTTGATTGTCATGGCAAAGAGGAGGAATAGTATTTCCCATTATTTACTAGAATAGAGGGAGCCCTGGCGGTGAGACAGTAACCACTCAGTAGACCCATAGGCAAAAAGACCTGGTGGTCTGTTTCCATAAAGATTGCCTAGAAAACCCTATGAGCCGATTAGACTCTCGGGTAGCAGGGAGTCAGAACTGATGCCACAGCAAATTTAGTTGTCTTCTATACATTTATTCCTTACTCAACAACTCACATTTACAACAATAGTAAAAAAAAAAAACCACCTATTTTTTCACATTAACTAAGTAATTCTGCCAGCCATGGACTTTGAAGTGTGAGGTGGGTAAGGTTTAATATTGAATGGGAATGGCTCTAAGGTTTTCAGTGGTTTTAGCAGTTATGTAATGGTTACAGTCACACTGAGTGTGAAATGCTGTGGTCATTCTCCATTTTTCCGTCTGACACCTATTTTCATAATGATCTGGTCTTTGGAACCTAACTGCATTGTGAAATGAAGAACAGTACTCTCTGGGTGTCTGTACATCTGTGAACCAGAATGTTGGAAGTTGAGCCCCGTTAAGGTATCCTAGAATGTCTGATGATCTAGTTCTTAAAACTCAGACGCTCAAGCCCTCAGAACACAGTTCTGACATACATGGGGTTCACCATGATTCACAGGAGACTTAACAGCAACTTTCAAAAAATGTCTACAATATAAAATAACTCTTAATACACGGAATATTAAGTGTTGACAAAGTTGCAAAGCAACCAGAATACTCATACCTTGCTAATGTGAACATTAAATGGTACAATTTCTTTGAAACAAAGTTGGTGGCAGTTTTTTAAAACAACGTTATACATTTTTCAGCTATCACCCTACCATTCCAGTCCTAGACATTTACCTGAGAAAAAAAAACACTGTCTATCTAGAAATTTGTATGCTGTTATTCAGAGTTTTTTCTTCATTCATGATAGTTAAAACCTGGAAACAACCACATCACCTGGAAACAGCTGAATGGTTGTTTTCAAAGTGGTGTCTATCCACAATGAAATACGATTCAGCTATAAAGAGGAGTTAATAACACATGCAACATGTATAAATCTCCAAACTGTGAGAAAGCTAGACAGTGAAAAAGCTAGGGACCCACCTCATCACCACAGGATTCAACAAGAGTGAACAACTACCACAGGGTTCCATTTAAATAAAATTTTAAAGAATAATGATCCAAAGCAAATACATTATTTTCTTGTCAATTGCACAAAAGCTAGAAAGAACGGCAAGGAAGGGATGGTGACGGGTCACGGGGAATCTTGAGTGCCATGATGGTTTGAAAATTATGCTAATCATATAATATTTTACATGTTAAATAAGTGTTATGTGTGGTTTAATGAAAGGCACACCTCAACAACATTACTAAATAGAAAACTACTACATCAAGAAGACAAAAATTCTCACCACTAGGTCAACTGGCAGCTTCGTGACAGCTGGAGAAGAGATTGAGATTGTTGTTAACAGTTTCAGCTTGCTCAGATCCACAATCAACACTCTTGGCACCAGCAGTCAGGAAGTCAAAAGACAAATGGCACTGGGGAAGTCTGCTCTCTGGGATCTCTCAAGTGCTAAAAAGGTAATCATGTCAATCTAGGGACTAAGGGGTCACCTAATCCAGCCCATGGTTTTGCAATCACTTGCTATACATCTGAGAGCTGGACAATGACTAAGAATGACTGAAAAAGAACTGATGCTTTTGAGTTGTAACATTGGGGAAGAGTATTGAGTATACAGCATGGGTCACCAAGAGAACAAACAGGTTTGTATGAGAGATAGTCAAAAGAAGTTTCTCCTTGGAGATCAGGATTTTGAAGCTCCATCTCACAGACTCTGGGCATGTGGCCAGGAGGGACCAGACCTTGGAGAAGGACATTTTGTTTGGAAGTTTGGAGGGATAGCAAAAGAGAAGACCCCAGATGAGATGGATTGACACAGTAACTAGGGCAATGGAGGTAGGTGTGTCAGATTCAGTTAGATTGGCTCAGGATAGGGCAGGGTTCAGTTAACTGCACATAGGTTCACTATGAGTCACAGGTGAACAACAACACTTCTAGGTAAGTGTTTGGCAGCTAACCAAAAGGGTGGTGGTACGAACCTATCCAGTTGCACTGTGGGAAAAGGCCTGGAAGTCTGCTTTCAAAGATTATTGCCTGAAAAACTATGGGTCAGTCTACTCTTCAATACGGGGTTGCTACGAGCTGGGTTCAACTCTGGGGCACCCAACAACCATGCATCTTGGAAAATCAGACTTGCCAACTATTTGAGTCTACCACACCCTTCTCCCTGCCATATAGGAGGGGGAACCTGGCATCAATAACAGAAATTGGGACATAATGCAGACTGCCCACTTCAGTCACCAAGAACGCTAGCTGGGTTAGAGAAGCACTGCTCCTGGTCTAAAGCCTTGTCTTCTCTCAGGCTCGATTTCCTGCCTATACAAGGATGACTACAATGTTCAACATTCCAGAGGGCCTCTGGGTCTCCAGAACCCTTTAGATTCTTGGCTCTGACACTGACCTTGGCCACACCATGGGAAGCAGAAGTCTGTATGTACTCAAAGTTTGCATGCAGCTTCATTCCACATAACCTTTATTATGTGGAAATCACTTTAGTATGGACACTCCCTTTTTTGTTTCCATAGTCTTCTCCACTATTTAATTCTGTACCTAGTGCCTCTGAACCAGTTAACAGTCAATGACATCTGTCTAGGGAGCTCTGGATTATAGTGGGCTAAGCACACAGGTCTGAGACACAGATTCCTTCCAAGTGCTGGGGAAATGTGGGAGAATTTCCGACAATCAGGAAGTAAACTCATGGTGCTTCCGATAGCCCTGCCTGAAGGCTGTCAATAGTATTCTCTGGTGTTTTCTGACCTCAGGGGAATTCCTCACAACCAGGGTGAGTACCACAGAATTCTTCAGTTCTACATAGCATTTCTTGGGCAACAACACATATTAGGTCAAACTCAACTAGAATTTGTTCTCTGCCATGCTCTCATTCCCTTCTAAGAACATAAAGTTCAGGGCCACCACAAAAGGTGTACCTTTCTTCAGGCTGGCACTCTATTCTTTTTCTATCCACTCCCAGAGGGATTAAAACTCTCAAGAGTAGAGGTTTACAGAATAAAGCCTTTATCGGACTTAAGCTGTGAGAGGTAGGCTGGATGTATGGGAAGCAAAGAAATCCCATCACAGGTATCAGGCATACAACTAGCATAATGAACAAGGGGTACTTTCTCTGGAAGTGTCTGGTTAATTTCAGCTCAAGGTTTTCAGGTCATAACTAGGTCATGTCTGCTCAGAAACCAGTCATGAGAAAGAAAATGAAGACTCACAAGTAGTTTCAAAGTTCTGGTGATTCTCTGTAGGGAAAAGGAAAGCGATCACAGAGGTCTATCTTCCTAGAATTTATTAGGATAATGGGACAAATAATGTGGAACCCTGAAGGCCAGTAGCAATGTTCCAGCCATAGGAATAGGCAGTGATAGAGCCCAGGAAAGTTTAGAAGTACTGTGCAACTCATGCTGGTTGCCACTGTGTAGAGCCCTCAATGGGGTTCTCCCTAGCATGGGCACCTGGATGGACAAATCTCACACAATGCACACGAGACTCAACAGGACTCTTCTTGAGAGCTTGTTTGGAGCTTCTAGCAGGGGAGTGCAGCTACTCGAATAGCCTTGACCAAAGGACGGTCTTCCTTCTAGCGGGGATGGTCGTCCTCTTCAACTGAGCACACAGCTTCAGGAGGGAGGCACACAGATCGGTGAGCAAGGGGAACCCCACCTAGGCAGCCAGATCAGCCAAATCAACCCTGACGATCAATGGGGTGACAGATGTCGCAGCCAGATCACCCTCACATCATTAACAGGACTCTTCTTAGTGTGGACGTCTGGATGGACTAAGCTCAAACAAAGCACACTGAACTCCCCCTAATGTGGGCATGTGAATAGACAAAGCTCACCCAGTGTGGAGGGCACTAAATGGGCTTCTCTCTAGTGAGGACAGCTGGACAATGCTTACCCAGTGCACATGGCACTCAACTGGACTCTCTGTGGTGGGGTTATCTGGATGGATAAAGCTCACTCAATGCACAAGGCACTTGATGGGATTCTCTTTTGTGTGGACATCTGGATGGACAAAGCTCACTTGCTAGTCAATGACTCCCACAAAGGGTGCTCAGTGTTGTGACTCTGATTGGGTCAGATGAGGGTATGGCATACTGAACACACTCATGATCTCCTTCTACTGTGAACGCTCTGGGGTTAGCAAGTAGTCAAAGAGCAGCTGGTAAAGGTACACCACTGTGCCCGGGAGACTGTTTCCTGGTGTGCACTTTCTTGTGTCGGACGAGATGGGAGCCCCTGCTGTAGGCCTTCCCGCAGTCAATGCACACATAGGGCTTCTCGCCCGTGTGAACTCGCTGGTGTAAGATGAGGCTGGAGTTGCGGCTGAAGAACTTCCCACACTCGCTGCACTTGTAAGGCCTGGCTCCGGTGTGGACTTTCTTGTGTTGGACAAGGTGAGAGCTACTGATGTAGGACTTGCCACATTCGCTGCACACGTATGGCCGTGCACCTGTGTGGACTCTCTGGTGCAGAATGAGGCTAGAGTTGTGACTAAAACATTTCCCACACTCGCTGCACTCATATGGCTTTGCTCCAGTGTGGATTCTCTGGTGGACCAGAAGGTTGGAGCTATGGCTGAAGAATTTCCCACACTCCCCACACTCGTAAGGCCTTTCCCCTGTGTGGGTTTTCTGGTGCTGAACAAGCGTGTCCTTGCGGCTGAAGGCTTTCCCGCATTCACGGCATGCGTAAGGCCTGACGCCGGTGTGAATGATCTGGTGTTGGACAAGTGTGTCTTTGCAGCTGAAGGCTTTCCCACATTTGCTGCAAACATGAGACCTGGCACCTGTGTGGACTCTGCGGTGTTTTATGAGGCTAGAGTTGTGGCTGAAGAATTTCCCACATTCAATGCACTCATAAGGCCGTGCCCCTGTGTGGATCCTCCAGTGCTCAATCAGGTGGGAGCTTTGGCTGAAAAATTTTCCACACTGGCTGCACTCATAGGGCCGTTCACCTGAGTGAAATCTTTGGTGCTGAAGAAGCGTGTCCTTGCGGCTGAAGGCCTTGCCACATTCCTCACACTTATAGGGCCTTTCTCCAGTGTGAATTCTCTGGTGCTGAACAAGGTGGGAACTTCTGCTATAGGCTTTTCCACATTCACTGCAGTCAAAGGACCGTTGTCCAGTGTGAACCCTCTGATGTTGAAGGAGGGTGTCTTTGCAGCAGAAAGCTTTGCCGCATTCACCACATGTGTAATGCCTTTTTCCACTGTGAAATTTCTGATGCTTTCTGAGTTGGGACAGGAGAGTGAAGGCCTTCTCACATTCCTTACACACGTGAACAGCTTCTCTATTGTGAGTTTTTCTGTGCTGAACAAGAGTTGACTTCTCCTTGAAGACACTTCCACATGTGAGACATTGGAAAGGCCTATCTTCAGTCCGAGCGGCCCAGTTGTCACGGAGAGCAGAAGTCTTTAGAAGGGCAAGGCTGCTCCCCGTGATAAGCATTGCGCCAGAGTGAGTGCCCTGGCACAGCCCAGCAGAGGAGCTGTTCAGGAATGGCTCTCGGCACCCAGTCCTCACAGATGGACTCAGTCCACGGCATGTTGTCCACTGCTGGGTGAGTCCTGGGCTGTGCTCTGCACTGTCTTCTTTATACGTGAGGGGCCATCTAGACACATAGACTTGACATGTGCAGCTCTCCACAAGCGAGGCCTGGCCAGTATCCCTGACAAAGGGATTTTCTCCACTGGGTCGCTTCTGTAGCTGGTCAACGTCTGCACCTGATGCACCCATGCACATGCACATGTTCTGCGTGAACTGTGACCTGATGTCCTCCAGGACTAGGCCACACCTCCCACAGCAGTGGACTTTCTGGGTGGACGGAATCCTGACCTGGGACACTCTTTCCACAGCAGCTTCCTGCTTAGAAGGTGCCTCCTCTGCTTCTGCTTCTCGCCAACAACCTGAAAGCAGAGACATGCTGGTGAAGGACGGGCAGACTCTGGTGTTGAGGCAGTCTCACTGTAGGCTGTGTGTGAGATGGCTAGGACCGGGTCCACGGGATTATAGACAGGACAGGGAGCTAGAAGAGACGACTAAAAGCCCCTTGCAGGGCTGGGCCTCCAGGGGTCACACAGTGGGGAAAACCCAACGCTGAGTAAGGACAGTGTGACTGGTTCAGGGAGAAGTAAGATCTCCGAATTCTGTGCAGACAAGTTTCATCAAAGTCCTGGCTAAGGCTGAATACAGACAACCTTGCAGAGGTTGGAGAAGACAGCGAGTGAGACGGGGAGGCTGGAGAAATGGGATGATGCCATGAGATGGAAGTCACCATGAAACAAATTCCTTTATGCGGCCTGTGGCCTTGGAACTTTGGACAAAGAACTTCAGAGATTTTCTTCCCTTAGTTCTAAGTAGCTACCAGTTCTTGGGCTGCAGCCTACTGTGTGACTGGTATGCGTCCTGTAGGGACCCGTCACCATTCACACAAATGAAGTGCCTGTGGCCCACAGGGAGGGGGGACTGGTTAAGTCTTGGGCTCCTGCTGGGAGAGATCACACCTTGATATCAACAAGGAGTTGGGTATACAATCTCTCAGAAACAGGAAGACAGCAGCAGGGAGATGGAGAAGTGAGAGAGGGGCAAGGGGCGATCGAAATGTGTTCTAACTAATGTGAGTCAGAGTCAAAGGCTGTGATAGCGAACACAGTGACAAGTCTGTGGAGGCCAGCAGTAGAGCTGGTGGGGACAGGCAGCAGTGCCAGGAGACACTTATCCCAAGGGGACCAGGAGGAGCCAGCTCTGAGGGCATGTGAGGTGCTGTGCAGGGCTGGTACATGCTGAGAGGGCTGCTCTGCACTGAACAACGGAGACGCTGCCTCGGCAATCCCTGATCCTGAGCTGTGGCCCTGCAATCCTGACCTTCAGCTGTCCATTACACCCTTAATAAACTGCTTATCTGGAAATAAGGGAGCTTCTCTGGAGGCCTAGTCTCCAGAGAGTCCCACTGCTAAGCCAAAGGTGGTCTGGATACACCGAGAATACAGCTGCAAGTGAGAAAGTTGGGCATGCTCTTCCCGTGTGATCTAAAGCCTCTTCCTGTGCGATCTCTCCCGTGTAAGCTCTTCCCGTGTGATCTAAAGCCTCTTCCTGTGCGATCTCTCC